CCACCCCTGTCCCTCACAGTGTCAGGGTCCCCCCTGTGTTTCTGGCACAGAGTTTGAGATCTGGTAATGTGATACTTCCAGGTAGCCTGGTACGTGCTTCTAACTGCCTTCAGGTTTCTTCCTGAGTTTGAGAAGCGAGAGACAAGGTAAGTGAGAGTGCAAACCAGAATACTCAAAGGCAGAAGGCAGAAGGACCAGGGCCTTGAGAGACGGAGGGAGAAGTGACAGTTGTCCTGCAGGGATGGGGCTGCTGCCAGCCCAGGATGGTCCTCAGAGGGGTCACCATCCAGGACAGAAGGTCCCATGGGACACACAGCTGGCTCCAGTGGGACCCCGGGCCTGCTCTGCTCACCTTGGGGTGCATGTGGTCCTGGGAAAGGAGTGCTGTGTGCATGTGGTGTGCGAATCTCTGGGTGTGGGCTGGTCATGTGCCGCTGCATGTGCATGGGCTCATGAGTGTGTCAGCACATACACACGTGTATATAAGCCCACATGTGCATGAGAGCTTGCATTTGTCATGGCAGAGAATATTTGACATCTTTGTGCATCTCGGATGACTCCCGAAACTGGCAAGTGGCTGAGTGTATGTGTCTGTATTTAAGCTCTGGCTTCAGGCCTCCCACAGTTGAATGACTCATTCCTGAAGGGCTAGAATGGCTCACCCTCACTTCTGCATGTCCTCCATCCATCCTGCGTGGGAAAGACCCGGGCTTCACTGTGTGCTGCTGCGTAAAGGGGCATGCAGCACACCCACGTGTACTTTCCCCTTTCATCCTGGCATCCTGGAGGACAGGAAAGTCACACCCTGGAGGACTGCAGTGCTCCTCAGCCCCACTCTGCATGGCCTCCAGGAGGCCCTTCCATGCCCCTCCCAGGGCCCCTGTGCTGTTGCTGAGCTCATCCCTCATCCTGCTCCTGCTTCTCTCCATTCTCCTCCTCTTCCTCTGGTTCCTCTTCTTCCTCCTCCTCCCCCTCCTCCTTTGCTCTCCTCCTACTGCTCTTCTTCCTGCTTCTCTTCCCCCTCCTCCTCTTTCTCCTTCCTCCTGTTCCTCTTCTTTCTCCTCCCCTCTTCCTCCTGCTCCTCCTCTTTCCCCTTTTCTTCCTCCACCTCCTCCTTCTCCTCCCCTTCTCCTCCTCTGTCTACCTCCCCCCTCTTCCTCCTTCTCCTTCCTTCTGCTCCTCTCTCCATTCTCCCTCCTCCTTCTGGTCCTCTTCCTCCTCCCCCTCTTCCCTCTTCTTCTCCTCCTCCTCCTCCTCCATCATTGTCTACTGGGTCCCACTGAGTCTTCCTTCTCTCACTCCCTCAGCTCCCTTCCCAGTCCCCGTCCATGTCTGTCTTTTCACCCGTAAACTACCCTTTTCTCCCCTTTCCTTCCGTACCCAAGTCCTCACTTCCATCTCCTCCTCTGATCTTTGTCAACCACACACTCTTAAAGCTGCCCATTGAAAGCTCTCAGCCACCAGGTCTTGGCCAGACTTCAGCTGCTCCCTGCACCATCCTGTGGAGAGAGAGATGCCCCTGCCCGTGCCTGGTGGCTGTGCCCCTCCCGCTCTGAAATGCCATCTCACCACCTGGCTCCTTTTCTTACCAGCCTTTGCTGGGCCAGTAGCATGGCTGGGTTGCTCCTTTCCTGTCTCCCCAGAATACAAGTGGTGTCTGCTTCCCCATTCCCCGCAGCAGGTTTTGCACATGGAGCTGGTGACTTGGTTCCCCTCTCCCCTCTCTCCTTCCTGTGTGCATCTGTGACCCCACTGCTTTCTTTCTGTCTTAGTGCTGGCAGCACCAGGAGCCCAGACGTCCAAAGCAGCCTCCCCTCCACAGTGATGCTCAGTCCCCCCACCCTCTGCTCTTCCACCTTAGAGAAGCACCGGGGACTCACTCCCATCGATTTCACCCCCACTGCTTTTGTCTTTCCTTGAAGTGACAGCCACAGCTTGCTGGCTTTAGCGCTTTCACAAGATGGAGGGACAGACGTACACACACACAAATACACACGGAGAGTGGCACATAGGCACGGTCGCACTCATGCAGCCAGATCTGCCTGTGATCTGTGGTTGTCAGTCAGGTTCCGTGGCTCCCTCGTGGCCCAGTCACACAGAGTGCGTGGCTTCAGAGCACACACAGCCATGTAGACATAGAGCAAGTGACAGGTAGACAAAGCCATAGCATACTAATGTTATAGATATCCACATAAATCACAGACAGAGGCAGAGCCTCGGACCTAGACAAAACCCTGATGTTCCTCCCAACCTGTGGCACAAAGTTAAGAGTGGGAGGTAGAAAGGCGACCTGTCCCAGCTGTTCTTTCAAGATGCCCATCGAGTCACAAGCTCATGGAGCAGTCTTCAATCGGCTACTCCCATCCCACCACTTGTCCCTTCCAGATGCCCTTCCCCAAGGCTCAGGGCCTCCTGCTTCTTTCCCTGGTGCTGTGGATCCAGGCTGCCTCTGCTGTGCTTGGCGCCCAGCCTGTGGGTTGCTGGGAGAGCTAGGACTGGAGCTTTGGTCTAGAAAAACACCAAGACATGGGGGCTAGGCCTGGGGCTCAGAGACCGGCCCACGTGACACCCTGAGAACAAAACTCACCCACTCACGGTCCTGAAAACACAGGCGAGCCCTCTGTTGCAAACAATGGAAAGTTTGTTATTGACAACGCAGTATGCTCTTTCATTACTTCGGACACATTTACACAGACATTGTCATAATGAACAGAGGCCTCTGTTGGCTCATTATAGAGCTGAATCACCAGTCTCTTACATTTACATGGGACTTTAAATCTTCTCAGAGCGCTTTTAGAGACATTCACTCAGCTGAGGCTCCCAGTTTTTAACTGTAAATGAGATTCATATATTCCACATATTTTACATATTTTCTATTCTTTTGCCATCCCTTGACAAACCAACAGACTCTTTCTAGATGGTATACATCAGTTTTGTATAAAATCATTTACTCTATTTCCATTGTCTTCTCATTTTTTGTCCTAACCTGACTTTCTCTATGCTGCTTTTTGGGTTGAGTTGAGTTAGGTTTGTTTTGTATGGCTTTCTTTTGATTGATTAGGTTTTTTGTTGGTTGGTTTCTTTGATCTTTGCTATTTCTTCTTTGCACTGATTTTACATATATAAATCCCAATTTTCTGTTTTTGTCTGCATGTTAAGTCTATTGTCTTCTTAGAGACAAATGGTCTTTTACTTTGGCTCTTTCATTGAGACTTTGATTTGTTTCTATACCCAATATAGAAAAATAGTTTGTGTAAAATAGAAAGCATCCAATAAATATTCCATATTTCCCCATATATCTCATCCTATATATTCCCTCTGCTGACTGGGGAAACTGGAGCAACTCTTACATGATCATGATCCTTCTGAATTTTCTTCTTTGGTCAAGGAAAGCTAACATTTTCTTGGGACAAATTGTTAGACAAATGCTACAGTTGATATACTTAAAGTGTCTGCCACATCAGTCAACACACAGCATAGTGTTATCATAGTAGTTTATGGTGGAGATGGTGAAAGCAATGGAATTGAAGCACGGCCTTCCCAGCTGCCATATTGGTAATGACCCACAAATACCTCCCCCGTGGGGACCCTCATTTAACCTTGTCCTTGCTTTTGAACATGTCAGCTCTTTTTCATTTTTCCCATTACAAATCATGTCTCACTAAACATCTTTCTGCAAATATTGATATTATTCTATTGAGTTTCTTATTTGGACTTATTCATATAGTGAGCTTATAGTGGGAAGGGATGTACACATCTCTAAGGCTCTTAATAAATAAATATCATGCAGTGGTTTTCTACAGTGGTGTTATCAGTGTATACTCCCAACAAAAAGTGTGATTATTCTGTAGAAGCATTGAGAGCCTTAGCTGGTCTTATTTCCTGTTTGACTTTTCTTATGTAAGTTTTGTTTTTCAAACTATGATTACATACACACGTTTATGGGGCCAGGGGCTAGTGGTGGCATTATTATTTACCCAGGATTTCAATAAGAACCTATTGTCCAAAGATCACCGTGCTTCCTTGTGATGGTATGGAAGATGATTTTAAATGGTGTGTGATATTAAATGGTTTATTATATGATATTATATTTCAACAAAGGGTGATATCATATGGTTTACATATGAAAATTATACTGTCTTCAGTTCTCCTTCAGTCTTCTGATCAGGCTTCGAAATTTCTCCTCTTGGTGCTAATGCCCCCTTACCATGCCTTCAGCCCTTCTGACCTCCCTTTCAAAAAGAGGAGCTTTCTTTCTAAAGCAACAGTTTCTAGCTCAAATTTAATAATATAATCTGCTCTCCATTATATTTATTTTTATGTTTCCTTTTTATATAATGTAATACTGATACTTTTTAAAAAATAATGATAATGTTTTGTTTGTTGAACACATCTATTTAATTAAAAAGTTGAGTTACAGAGAAGGCAAAACCTGGGAGAAGGGGAGGACTACAGTGATCAAAGCTGAAAGTATTCCTTGGGGAGTGCATTCCCAAATGTGCCCCCTCACAACAGCATACCCCCTGAAAAACTATTGACTGCACATCTGCGGAAGGCCCCATGTGGTTTAGAACTCTGATTGGCCCTTTGTCCAGATTTCCTTGTGAGTCTAAGGACCATCCAGTCACCATGATGAGAGTCATTTTAATATCCAGTAAGTCTCTGGGTTCCTGACCAGGTGAATAGACAGTCTACTCCCACAGCAGGTCAAGAATGGTAATACATCAGCAAGGGAGGATGTATAAACAAGGAGTGACATTGTGACTAGAATGATTCAGAAGTTGGGATTAAATAGCTTAATGAGAGTCGTTGTGAATTATGATGTCGGCTTTAGTATGATTCTAACAAAGTACTTGGTAACACTAATGAGATTTGATAGAATAAAATTGACGGTCTCCAAACAGCTGTGTGCTTTCACAACAAAAGAGCTGTCTTTCAGGGCAGATTAATACACACTGCCTTGGGAGATTTTAATCAGTTGATTTTGTTTCATTTTTTAGGATATATTTAAATTTGCAAGAACTTCTCCTGTCCCAAGACAAAAGAGGTCCATTGTGGTATCCCCGATTCTAATTCCAGAGAATCAGAGACAGCCCTTCCCACGAGATGTTGGCAAGGTAAGTCGGGCATCTGACAAGCAGCAAAGCATGTTTTTATTAAGGGACAAGCATACACAAGGCAAGCTGATGGTCTTGGTGACCTGCCAGGCTTGGCCTCAATCCCTATGATAGAAGGCCAAAGTGATTCTGGCAAGAAAATAATTGCGGAAGATCATCCCCAAAAAGGATGAAAAAGGAAAGTAAAAACAACACCTTTGACTATCGTGATTTGGAGATCTACTTGGTAGAAAATGAAGCTGAAGTGATCCAGCAGGTTAGGAACTAGATTCTGCCTTTACAGTTGGTGTCCACACAGAGCCCAGTGGGACAGCAGCATGCTGATAGGTGTCCTTATTGAGATCATATTTTTCATATGTTGAGAACCAGGGACAGCGCTGTGCCAGCTTTCTAAAAAGCAGACCAGATCAAGGTAACCAAAATGTATTAACCAGAAACATGGTTACAAGAATCAGAACAACTTTTCTAGGAAGCTGTCAGTTGAATAGTCATTGTTAAATTGGCCTCAATACTGATGTTACCTTGTGTTGGAAAACAACATTTCAACAAATTGATCTTAGTGATCGAATTGGCCATTATTAGAGATTCTGGCAGCATCCTATCTATGAAATGGAAAGTTGCTCTGCTGAGCCGGGCAGAAGGGGCTAGTACAAAACACAGAAAGGGCTAAATAAGGAGCAAGAAGTGGATCAGTCATTTCAAAGTCACTTATCTTATAAGGTTAAAGCAGAGAGGACTTCTATGACCTGCTGGGTCAGAGAGACAGGGTCACTTATGATAGGTCACTATTAATCTCCTGTTTTTTGGAAAGCTGGCCTGTTTTAAAGATCACTTTGATTGTGTGGCATTTGGCACGAGTAACTCCATCATCATGAGTGACTCCCTGGTTTGGCCTAGTCTGTCTCTGACCCCAACAATGACCCCTGTAGAATACATTTGACACTAAATACTTCCTCTCCTCATAAGGAAGACAACATGAGGAATCAAATTTTAAACACTTTGCAACTTTCGTAAACCTGGAATTTGAACACTGATGGCTAGTTGAATGAATGATCTTAATGGCTGGTGCTGTTAGTCTGTCCATTCTCTGAGTAAATAGAAATGGAGTACCTTTTATGAGCAGACCCAAGCTTGGGGCTGGATGAATATAGCTATGAACATGCAGACAATGGAGCTTATATCCTATTGGGAAGATAAATGTTTCCATAAGTAAGTAAATAAACAAGAGAATTACAGAATATGACAAATACTGTGAAAAACAGAAACACAAAGGCATGAGAAAAAGAGCAAATGGCAGGACCAGGCAGTGGAAGGAGGAGCAAACCTTCACACAGATGGCTGCTGGCCGGTCTGAATGTGTAACATTTAAGGAGGATGGGATGGAAGAGACATGGATGGCCATGGGGAGGTCTGGGCACATGGCATCTTGGCAGAGAAATGTGCATGTCCAGAGGCCTGCAGATGGGGACAGTGGAGTGTGTCTGAGGAGCCGCTCACCTGGTGACCCCAACACAGTCAGAAAGAGGAGAGTAAGGGCATTGAAGTCAACTTGGAGGTGTGAGGAAGAGTCAGGATTTCAGCACAGTTGCAGCCAGAGATCTCCAGCCACTGTCCCCAGGAGAGAAATTCTTCTGACTTCCTGGTAGAGTGATTTGTGGGAACAGAGTGGAAAAGAGGAATGAGAACCAAGAGACCCACCGAGAGGAGAGTTTTGTGGTGGTCTGGATGAGATTGGGGGTGACTTGCACTCTAAGACATCTATTTCTAGTGGAAATTAGAAGCAGCAGTAAGCCAATATCCTGAAGATCACTAAATATTTCAAACTACCGCCATGCCAAATTTGATTTTCATTAAGCAAAATCTATTTGGAAGCCCAGAATATGACACAAAGGAAAGCAGAGCTGTTCGGAATGGACAGAGCTGGGCTGATGTGCCCTGTTCCCTTGGACAGCCCTATGCACTGTGACCAGGTTTCTACCTGGATTTCCTTGCAGCCAAGAGTTTTACTGGCCAAGGGACTGGAGTTTATATATCTTTGATGATCTGCCCCAAAATAGTTGTTGACAACTATATTAGTCCATTTTTCAGACACCAACGAAATACTGAGACAGGGTATTTTATAAAGAAAAGAGGTTTATTTTGACTCATGGCTCTAGAGAAGGTCAAGAGGCCTTCTTTTTAGCAGTCATTGGTTGAGAGCTGCTCCTGGGGTGTAAACTCTCCAGCACACCTGGCCTGGCCTGTGCTCTGGGCTCAGGTATATGAGCCCTCTCTGGTTTGGAGGAGACCCTCTGGGCAAAGAGATGCCACACAGCAGCTATAAGTCTGTGCTCTGCACTGCAATGGTGTGGTCCAGGGGTGGGGTATGGGGTACCAGACTGATGGGTCCTGTTCTGTCCCTAAACGTGACATAAATAGCTTGCCTTGCAGGCTCGGTTCTCTCTCTTTGTCTCATTCTCTGTTCCACCTCATTTCCTGGACTGACTTTCTTATATCATGTACCTTTGAAACCCACTATACTTGCCTCTCTCCATGAATAAATACTTGCTATACCCCAGGAAGAAAAAGGTCAAAAATTCAACCCAGTTCATGTTAACAACTATATGTTCAATGTTTGCTATTTGTAAGGGAGAAACTAGGGATTTAGTGGTGAAGAAAACAGACAAGATCCTTGGTCTTGTAGGATAACAGAAGGGGAAATACCAGCACCTATCCATTGTTTACCAGGCACTGTGCTAAGCACTTGCCACTTATTGCGCTGAATTCTGATGACAACCACTTTATGAGCATCTTCCACAGTCACCTAGCTGATTAGCAGCAGAGGCAAGCATCCAGTCACTTCTTTGAGATTTCAGCATCTCTTCTCTTGCCCAGTATGCACAGGGCTGCGCAACCCAATCTGAGACTCTTCCTCCATGGAATGAAATATCCTTTCTGGCAGTTGCTCTCTTTAAGACAACATTAAAACTAAATGTAAAAAAAATAAAATAAAAAACCAATTGTAACTTTTTAACATGCACCAAAAGGTAAGAAACATAGAAGTATAGACTAGTGGATATATGTTGGATATATGATAAAGGAAGTGTACAAAAGTGTCAGTGGGAAAATCTCATTAATGAGCATACAGGTGCTTGCTGTAAAATTCTTTCAACTTCCCTGTAGATTTGTGAATTTCATAATAATTTGGTAGTGAAAAATTCAGCTTACTCAAATATAAGATTACATTATATGATATAGGAGTTGGTATGCTGGCACCAAACTCTTTTCCTCTTGCATTTCAAGAGGATGAATGGAGGCTGTCTATTCTTGGTTTTCTTTCCTCTTTTTTCTTTCTTTCCTCTTTTTGGTCATGTTTTATCACACCCTAAATTCCTTTAAAGAAAGGGATTCTGTATACTAAAGGATAAGGACATCAAAAGCCAGGTGATGAGGTGAACAAATCTCTGTGAGTCCTCTCCATGGCCCGTGGCATGTCAGACTGAGGTCCATGGGAGGGCGGTGTGGGCACCTCCAGGGAGGAGATAAAGACCTGGCTGCTGCATAATTCATTTATCTGCCAAATAATTAGATGATAAGTAACTAGATTACTGGAATTTGGGAGTGCTTCCTGGTCATCAGAGGGAGCCACATTACAACCCTGAGATTTCATTTCACTGCTGCTTGCTTAGCCAGCCCCTTGGGAACACAAGAGAGGAACGAACCTACAGACTTCTGGGAAACAGCCCAACACACCCAGCCATAAGAAACCAAGTTTTCCTCCTGGTTTTGGCTCTTTCCCAAGGTACCTTCTTCCCTAGAAAAATCTCTTCATGTTTCTGAAGCAAGGCTAAAACATTCAGTCCTGAGCACATTTACTCAGATCTGTTTCTTACTGTTTTCAAATTCTAGACAGAAGTGGGAAGTTGAGATTTGTGTCCTGGAGAGATGCACACCATTCCTTATGTGTACCTTCTCCTCTCCCCCTTCAAAGTATGACTATTAAAAAATTGGGGCCATACACAATTTCTCAGCTTTACCAATATCTGCTGATAAATATTTGATTACATCTTTACAGATTTTTTTGAGTTCTTGGCCCTGATTGATTGAGAACAAGGAACTTTAAATCTGTGTGGTGGCATGGAGGTCTTTGGGAGATGTATTTTATGCTGTTTTATATTAAATTTGAAAGACAAGTCATTTATGAAATCCTTATTAGAGATTCTACTTTCATCACAAACCCTTTTCATCAAAACCAATGAAAGTAAATTTAACTGAAAATCCTTTTTTATATGCCTATAAATTGGCACAATGGGCATTTAGAAGGACATCTTTAACCCAGGATGGAAGAAATATGTAATTGGACCATGTGCTCTTCATAAAGGGAATCAACATAGATCGTTAGAACAAATCATGAAAATCACTCAACCGGGTCTCTGCTTTGATTGTGTCATGAATGTGAGTCATACGTGAAGACAATTTACAGCAGTTCCAAACTATTCCACAGAGGTCCACACATGTGATATATTAAGAAGTATCCCCTCATCCTGGCCCTCTATGCCTCCCATTTATACCTCCCTAGGAAAGCACATACCAGAGGGTTGATGGTCTTAGCACTGAATTTGCTTTGCTCTATTCAATAGTCATTTGCATCTTTGAGAACCCATGGGCACCAAGGTGCATTCTGGAGCTGGACCGAAGCTGATGCCAACTCCCCAGCACCGTCTTTCTTCAGCCTCAGCCTCCTGCTGCAAGGCAGACTCCCATGCCAGGTCCTGTCCTGCTCCATCCTGTTGTTCCCTGCCCCCTTTACATCTCTGGCTTCATACCCTTTATCCAGGTCCATGTGTTCTTTTCAAAAATTTACATCAATTTCATTTCCCCCATTTTAGGCAACTAGCTATTATATTCAGTAACTGAAACTTACCCATAGAGTACAGGAGGGAAACTAGAACACGGGAGATCTAAGATGCCCAGAGGCTCAGCATTCAGGATTCTTCTTGAAATAAACATCACACTTTATT